AAGAAAAGAAAGAAACTCATGCATATATGAAACAAACAAACAAAAAAGGTAGTGAACTAGTGTTGTTAGCACCAAAACTAGAAAAGAGAAACAAAGAGGTTACTTTAAAAAGTCACTTTTAAAGTCATTTCAATTTTTTATTGAAATTAGGACATCATAAGGGGGTATGAATGCCAAGCAAGACACTCAGCTTTGACACTGGGAACAAAGTTTGTGATCCAGAGGATGAATTTTAGTTAAGAAGAAACTGAGATTTCAGAATGAGTTTGGAAATTTCTAGAGATGACTTATACACAAATAACTTATTATGTCTGGTCTTACTATTTCTCTCTTTGTTTACCAGTCACTGAAAGAAAATAATTAGTTTCTTCTTGGCTCTGAAACAAATGAAGACCACCATACTTCTCTGTATCTATGGCAAGGCCCCCAGATTTAAATTAGCCAAAAAACTAAATCTAACCTAAGACAAAGTAGAACTGCTTCATAGGGTGCCCAAAGGTATAAATCTTTTACAGAAACATTGCCACAAGTTTCTCCTAGACAGTAACGTGTGTGTGTGTGTGTGTGTGTGTGTGTGTGTGTGAAAGCACCTTTTAGTTAGCAGCTGAGAGCTTAATTATTCTACTACCAGAATTCCTTAGAGTCAAATTATATAAAGCTAATATATGAAATAATTTAGGTTGCATGTTTCCCTTTGGCTACTTTTCACCTAGCAGAAAGGAATGTATGAAATATTGCCTAACACTCAAGCCCCTAGTTTTTAGTTAGAAAAGAATTCCAACTTACCAGCCATAGATAATAGCCTCTCAGACCTTTTTCTTCCCCAAAGAAAAGGACAGAATTGAAAGTGAAAGCTACCAAGCATTTCCTTATAGCAGGGGTGGGATACTTAATCATAGATTGTGAAGTGGCTGCTTGCAACTTCTATGTTTTTTTATTGGGAAATCCCCCATGTGCAGTAAAATGGTTTCCCAATTCTGACCTCTTCCTACAGGAAGAAAAAGGTAGAAATGACAAAACAGGTTTTAACTCTTGACTTTTTTACTTCTTTTCTCTCTCCATTACTCCATGTACTGCCCTCTCTCTACCTTTTTCTTCTCTGATATCTCACTAATGTATCTATGTTTATTTAAACATGACCCTGAAGTTGTCATGTTTAAACTCTTATGAAAAACATTCATTTTTCATAAGAGTTTCTCAAATAAGTTATTTTTCTTGTTTTAGTATCATTTAATATGATAATAATGATGCTTTCTCTCCCTGCCTCTCAGTTTTCTTATTCTCTTATGGGATGTTGTTGTTGTTGTTGTTAAGTGCCGTCGAGTCGAGTCCGACCCATAGCGACCCTGTACAGGGTTTCCGAGGGTGTAAATCCTTACGGGAGTAGAAAGCCTCATATTTCTCCCGCGGAACGGCTGTTAGTTTCGAACCGCTGACCTTAAGGTTCCCAGCCCGATTCGTAACCACTACGCTATAGAGTTCTTTAAATGCCTTGTTTTTAAGTGCCATCAAATTTGTTCTGACTCATGGTGACCTTGTATAGGTTTTCTGAGCAGTGGCTGGTGAGTTTGAACCACCAACCTTGCAATCAATTGCATTGTACTGTCGTACCACACCAGAACTCCCTTACAATTTTAATTTTCATTGAAGTTGCTTGTTCACCTCCACCTTTATATCACTGTGAAATGACACCAACTATTCCTTCTGCTGTACTTGCTAGTTCTCACCTGTGTTCCATAATTCATTGCAATGGCCGTAAAAGACTCAGACACTGTATTTGCCATAATGGGGTTTATTAAGGAAGTTAACAGGTTAAGATTCAGATTCAAAAAATGTTCTGGGAGTAGTTCTTCCAATCACAGCAATCTCTCCTCTGCTGTTCCCATAGGCAGACCTCTTTTTGTCCAAGCAATGTTCCAAACCTTTTTAAGGATGATGATCAATGTTAGAAGGACACAGCATTTCACACTAAGCTTCAACCTAAAGGTACACAGCTCTTGCTCCCCAAACAAAGTGCTTAGAGGCACCCCGTTTTGCAGCAAGTCTCCTGTCCAAAGTCACTCAGCTTTACTTGCTTTGTGGTCTGTGAAGTCCACTGCTCTGTCTCATATTCTGGCGCTTGGTTTTGCTGCTGCTGCTGCTTCTCTTCCAGTCCTCCAGTGTCACATCTTTCTGTCCCTAGGTCTATCAGGTTAAGTACAAAGGAATCTCAGGGTCCAAAGGATGTGCTCCACTCCTGACTCTTAATTGATGGTAGTGAGATTCCCTCCTCTGCTTCTGGGGTGGCTCTTTTATATCAAGCAGGATGGAGGAAAATGACCAGTTACAATTATCCCAGTTAACTAACACTCACAATTGAATTAAATAAACCATCAGCATCTCCCTCCACCTTCTCACTCAGATCTATCAAGAAAAAAGTCTTTTGGTGGGCGCTTACAAAGACTCTATTTTTTACTGTTGTTAAGTGTCATCATGTCTGTTCTGACTCATAGAGACCTTGTGTAGGTTTTCCTTATAAAACTTTTGAACCGCCAGCCTTTCAGTGAGCAATATAGTGCTTATTCTAAAGCACCATGTCAAGACTATGGCTAGATATCACCTAATACCACATGCAAGCAAAGATAATACACAAGAGTTGCAATAGTACATCAACAAGTTGTTGTTGTTATTAAGTGCCATTGAATCAGTTCTGATGCATAGCCACCATGTTTCCAAGGGGCAACTTGTGGGTTTAGATTTCTTGTCGAGGATCAGCCTCGACAAATTATAAGGAGACTCTTGAAGGAGGATGTGGAGTTGGCTGAATGGGGAAAATAAAAACAACAACTCACAGTCAATGGGTCATTTTGAGTCTCAGGCAGATGATGGTGATGACTCTCTGACTGACTTCTTCTTTATTTCCAAATTGTTGCTTCTTATATCCCATTTAGAATATACTATGATCTCATAATAGTCACGTACAAGTAGTTACAAATCAATCAAATATTATATTGTTACATCAAAGGTACAAGAGGAACACAAGGTCACCAAACATTCCTGCATCTCTATCCTCCTTAGTTACTCCTTAGTTACCTTGATAATGTCTGCCTTCTGTGAGTGACTCTGTTTCTCTCTAATCCTCCCTAAAATGTCTAGTTTGGCCTTGATTTGTTTTTCTCTAATCCTTTTTAAATGTCAGGTCAATTTTAAACAAAGTTCTACATCTTAATTTCTAACTTTACCAACATCTATTACTTTCTATAGATTCATTAATTACAACTCACAATCAAAAACATAATCTTTACTATAACTGGTCATACATATAATTGATCAAACAATAAAAACAAGAACATAAAAGTACCCTAAAGTTTCATAGTTAAGAACAAAGCAGTAATTATCTCATGCTAACAATTTCTCAAAAGTTCTAATCAAATTCCTACCTCTGTTCCCAAGCTCTCACTGCCCTTGACTGTCTCATAAGCTGCTTTCTAAAGGCCTTAATGTCCTTGACTAAAACTACATGGAATATTTCTTACAATCCCAAGCTTGAATTGCTAAAACTTTAGCTAGTGCTCTTTTGAAGAGAGGGTGGTGTCACATCATTTTGCATAGTTTGGACCTGCTGTGGGAAAGTATCAGTTCCTGGAGAACATCATGCTCAGCAAAGAATCAGGAAAAAGAGGAAGGTCCTTAGTGAAAAGAAGAAGACACTCAACAAGATGGATTGATACAGTGGCTGCAACAATAGACTCAAACATACAACAATTGTGAGAGTGCTGCAGGACCAGGCAGGGTTACATTCTGTTGTATGTAAGGTCACTATGAGTCAGAATTGACTCAATAGCACCAAACAAACAAAACAAAGCTGCCATGTCTTTGTTGGTGGTAAACTCTGGGAATTCTGGTAAGTCACTCATCACCTGTTGTTGTAACACAATTTTCCACACATCTCTCCTGCTGAACTACAAATTATTTGATATCAAATATCTACTATGACTTTCATTTTATCTTTCAAGTAGAATGCCCAGAACAAGGTTTTTTCTTCTTTTTTTAAAAGAAAGAATGGTGCTTTTAGTGAGTTCATCTCATATAAATCAAGTCTAAAGATTCCTACTCCAGTACCACTTTGCCACCCCACCTCATATTTCCAGTCCAATAAAAAACCCAGAGGACAACCTTTCATTTTTATTTCAGATTTATTTGAATCCTTAAAGAAATGTCTGTGTCCTGCAGACATGATTCCAAAAATGTGTATAGAATGGCAGACTTCTTGGCTTCCTATATAGTAAAAAGAAAGTTCATAAAAGAAAAGAGAATATATGAAGTATTATACTAAAAACTATGCAGATTATAATGGAATATATACTTTCTAAAGAAAATATTGCTGACATTATTAAGTGCTGCCAAATCAGTCCCCATCTCATGGGAACTCCATGCACAATGGAGCAAAACACTCCCCAGTTCTGTGCTTGATTGATTGTAGATCAAACAATATTCCATTTTGATCCATAGGATGTTATATTTTTTCAGAAGGTCACCAGGCCATTCTTCCTGGTCTGTGTCAATCTGGAAGCTGTTTTGAAACCTGTCAAGTATCACAGTAACACACAAAAATCCACTGATGAACAAGTGATGGCTGCACAGGAGTTGCATTAATCAGGAGATGAACTTGAGTCTCTCACATGAAACATGATACTTCTACCATGGATCTACCAATAGGGAATTTACCAAAAGGCATGGTATGGCTAAATATTGCCCTGGTGAAGTGAAAGGGAAGAAAATCCAAATTAAGAATTCATAATCTTAAAGCCATTTCCTCAGTCAATATTAGGTGACACTTAAAAAGAGCCACTCAATTCTTTGCAGCTGTTAGAGAAGAGTAATAATGTACTCTGCACTAAATAACACATAGGCATGCCTTCAGTGTCCCTGAATATTGGACCAGGATGGAGTTTCAGCCATTGCACTCTCCCTCTCACCTACCAAAAACACACAACTGCCACTGAAAAAGCTTACTTCATTTAATATCCTGGAAACAGGTAGAAACATCTCGTCAAAGTCACCCTTTCTGTGGTGGGCATCTGTACTTTACCATCTGGCATCTCAAATGAAAACCGAACCTAAAAGAGAAAAGAAAACCTGTAGTTTTTTATTTATTTATATTTTTTTCTGAGTTAAGAATCTTCCTTTAAGCTAGAAAAAAATTATGGTGAGTATAGCAAAATAAATGAATCACACAAAAAAAGTATTCACATCTTGAGAATCATAGCAATATATGCTTCTAAGCATGGAGTGCAGACTTTTTAAACCCATGGCTAGATTTGACAGCTATGTGGGAAACAGACAAATTAAAGTCCTGGTATGGTGCTGTGGGTAAGCGCT